GGGAGAGGGGGACGGAGGGAGAGAAGAAAACCTGGGACCCAGATCTACAGGAAACACCTTTAAGAAAGGTCCTTTGCTGCCTCCTCCAAGAGAATCCTTTCCTCTGCCCCTCTCCCTCTCCAGCAGCAGCTGCTAATGGTGCGCTGGTGCCAGTGGGCCTGAGTCCCGAGGGGCTGCTTCTATAGTAATCCTAATTACCCATTGCCTTAAACCACCCTGGTCCCTAGCCGGTGGGTGGGGAGTGGGAGGGGAGGGTGTCACAAAGCAGCCCTTCTTAGCTTAGAAAATAGGTGGTGTTTTACCACCTGTCAGGGCAGGGCAGTTTCCTAGTTACACTCCAAGGTGCATTAGGTCAAGTGATCTTCCCTGTTCCCTCCTTTGTAGCTAAAATCAGGCGGGAAAAGGGCCTCTGGCCTCGGTGGTAGCAAGCCATAACTGAGAGCAGCTGGGTTTGCCGTGCCTGGTAACAGCACACAGGAAATGCAGGGAAAAGCAATTATCTGGGTCCTATCTTACCTTCTGTTTATGAGAGATGCATGCAGAGCTCAGGACCACTGCCTAAGACCTAATATTAGTACTTTTTAAATTTTACTCTTATTGTTAGAATAATCATTATTCTGAGTGCCTCAAACAAGCGGGCTAATGGCATTTGCCACCAGGCCTGAAGGACCCACTCCGACATCGCCTTCTGCCCCATTGACCCACTCTTTGTGCTGTTTCAGTACAAAGGACAGGCGAGTCCCCCACGCATGCCCCTCTCTCTCTCACACACACAGTCTCTGTTCACACGTTTGCTCTGACTCTTCCCGCTGCCTGGAAGGTTCCTCTTGCTCTGTCCTCGTTATGGCTGGCAAACATCTCTGCCTTCCACACCTCCTCCGGCAGGTTCCCTCCAGCCCCCCTGACCCCGGGTGTCTGCTCTGTACACCCAAACCACAAGTGCTGCCCTCCAGCACACAACTTCTTCAGGCTGTTTACTAAATGTGACCAGAAGCTCCACGAGGGCTCAGCCAGGACTGATTCATCTCTAAGCCCCTGAGCCCAGCACAGTTCCTTCAGCACAATGGGAATCAAGGAAGGCGCAGATGGAACACACTACCCACAATGCAAGCACAAGGGAACAATGAAAAAATGGTCCCCTACCTAGGACGAGCCACCAATCAGCCACATCCGGAGGCAGGAGCAAGGATGCCCTAACCGGACCTGGCTAGAATCTGGCAAAAAAGCCCAGAAACGATGGGAAGATCATTTGAAATAGCAATACACATACACCATTGTTAATGATAGACCTTATCTTAAGTCTATATTAATGTGCTTTTAGATTATGCCAATAACACATGAAGCCATTTAGATTGGCAAGCATTTAAAAATTAAGCATATGAAAGTGTTTATAATAATATATACCGACTGAGAGCAAAAATATTTTTTGTATCACTAAAAAATTAAAATATAAAATTCATCTTTGGCGAATCCTTTTTAATTTCTATTTTATAAATGTTTTATTATGCACAAAATATATTTGTCTTCTTCATAAATAAATAAATTTACTTATTTCAATGATCTTGGTTCACACATTTTCCAAGAACAAACTCCAAGATCAAAAACATTTGGAGACTACTGGTCTAGAGGTGAAGATTTTACAAACTGTGGAATTGGAAAGTCATGGTTTCAGTCTAGCTCCTCCCCTACTATCTGTGTGATTCTGAGCAATCCACCTCTTGGACCTTCCATTTCCCCAAAAGTGAATTGGGATAATAGTAATACCCCCTCTGAGAACAAAATCTTGTCTGTCAGGATTTTGTTTGCACAGTGCCTGGTATGTAGCAACCACTCCATATACCAATACTTATTTTAAGGCAAAGTTATAAGTTAGTACTGCTGATCTAACCAGCCTTCAAATGCTCAGACACCCTTTTGGGAAATTTAGCCCCACCCCAGAATCAGTCAGGGACCAATTTACTTAAGTATTTAACTATATTAACAGTTTTACTCCATTTGAGCCATGTATAGTAATACTGCTCCATGCCAGGCCTGAGTTGGATACTGAGGACTTGGTCATAAAAAGTGCTTCTGTCCCTGAGACTCTCAGAGTCTACAGGGGGCAACAGATACACACCAGGAGCACATGGAGAAAGCTACACCAGCAGGGTGGAGGGGCACTTGAAGCTGATGGGTAGGTAGTTTCTCCAACATTGCACAGCTTCTCAGTAGCAGTGCTGGCAGTCAAATTCACATTTTTTGACTACGGTGCTCATGTCTTCACACAGATTCATGCTGCCCAACCTCAGGGGCTGCCTGGACATCATCCAAGCAGTGGAGGTGGTACTGAGCGCCACTCTGCCTCTCCTCTTGACCCAGCCTTAACCAGGGGTGTCACAGAGGAGAAAGATGATACGCAATCTTCCTCCATTGTCTGCATGGTCCTCACGCCTATGTTTCCCATGTGTTGGTCTTCCCGCAGCCCCCAAACCAGCTGTCTTAGAAGAAATGCTTCACAACTTAGATTTCTGTGACATTTTGGTGCTGGGAGGGGACTTGGATCCAAGACAGGAGTGTTTGGAGCTTAACCACAGTGAGCTCCACCAGCGACACCTTGATGCCACCAACTCTACTGCAGGCTACTCCATCTACGGTAAGCCACGCTCAGCCCCTTCTCTTAGTGGTCTCTTAGAGTCGCCTTGTCCAGGGTGTCATGAATGTGATGGCACTCCATCACCTATGAAGGTAGTATCAGGTGGGGACCCTTGACCTCAGAGCATGGACTCTGGCCCCTCCTTTGTTGAGCTAATCTGGCATCTTGAGAACCTGGACCGCATCCCCACTCCTGGAGAAATCTCCTATAGAAATAAATATTCTAGCAACATTTGGCAAATTGTGGCCAACCATTCTGGTCAGAGCCCACTGTATGTGGAAATCCCATGGATCAGTTTAATGAGCTCCTTGCGACTTTTGCTTCAGCACATTGTCTGCTCCTAAACACCTCAAGCTCTCAGCCTGGCCTAATTCAGGAGACTCACAAGCCCAGCAGCTGCAGCCCGTCTCCCTGTCTCCTTTTCTGCCTTCTTATGACAAGTATGGTCCCTTGGCACAGGTGTGGGCTCCATGAGCCGCTATGAGCAGGTGCTTCGTCACATCCGCTACCGCAACTGGCGCCCGGCTTCCCTCGAGGCCCGGAGGTTCAGGATCAAGTGCTCGGAACTCAATGGGCGCTACACCAGCAACGAGTTCAACTTGGAGGTGAGAGAGTCCTGCCGTTGTAAGGGAAGCCGGGGCCCACCCATTCTTTCCCTCGTTTATTCGGGAGGACTGCGGCCACTGGCCCACCTGCCACTCCTGTCACCAGCACGTCTCCCTGCTCCTCCCAGGTCAGCGTCCTCCATGAGGTCAGAGTCTCAGACAAGGAGCACGTCAACCACCTGGTCATGCAGCCTCCCTTCCTCCAGCCTGCCCGCCAGCCCAAGTCCCAGACCAGCGTCCAGCGCAGTTCAGGTAGGCCACCTGGCAGGAGGGACCTCGGGACACGAGGCGATCCTTGTGACTCAAGACCATCCATTGAACAGACATTTGAGGTGCAGCAGCCATAGGTGCCTAGAACTGAGGGAGGGGCCTGACAATGAAGCTATGGACCCTGGCTCTGAGGCACTCGCACAGCCTGGTAGGGAACTGGACAGTAAACAAGAAGTTACAGACAATTCATAGTAACAGAGGTTAGTACAAAGGGCTGGGGTAAAATTTTGCAAGTCCTTTTAGTTCCAACTCAAAGCCACATCCTGTATGAAGTTTTCCTTGAACCCTTTACATACACTCACACACACACACACACGTACATCACATTGCAAAGTCCCCTACCCATACTTCTGTCCCAGAACTTACCATATGGTATTACTGTCTGCTGGGCACTGTGTCTGTTTCTGCTAACCTCCACAGTGTCTGGCTTTCAGTGGGAGCTGCCCTATAATTTGAGGGGAAAAGCAAGAGATAGAAAAGAACTTGCATTTATTGAGTGCCTACTCTGTGCCCATGTGGAAGCCCACATAGATTATTTCATTTGCTCCTCACAACTACCCATGGGATAGGAATTATTAAGTCCTCGTACAGATGACAAATGTGAAGCCCAGGAAGAGTAAGGGGATGGCCCAGAGTTCTACAGCTGGAAGGTGGTAGGGCAGATTTTAACCTATGCACAGATATTTCACCCTTGTTTCACGGTGACCTAGAGTGAGCTAGGTTCACCATGTCATGAAGATTCCTTCCTCGTTCCAGTGGTCCCAAGCATTGCCACCGTGGTCATCATCATCTCCGTGTGCATGCTAGTGTTCGTGGTGGCCATGGGTGTGTACCGGGTTCGGATCACCCACCAGCACTTCACCCAGGAGACCGAGGCTGCCAAGGAGGCCGAGATGGATTGGGACGACTCTGCGCTCACAATCACAGTCAACCCCATGGAGGTGATCCTCACACAGGGGCGGGAGCTAAGATGGGATGCCTCCCCTCCACCCACATCTATCTTTCTTGTGCCAGAAGCCCTGGTGCATCTAGCCCAGCCCCACTGATCCCTCCCTCTAAGTTCCTCCAGCCCTCTCAACCCAAGTGAACCATCCTTCCCCACCAACTGCACTCACTGTTTAAAAATGTGAATTGTTGTCACCCTATAAGCAGAACCAGACATTTCTTAAGGCAAGCAGCCATGTGGTGTCTATTCATTGCCACCCCCATTATATTTAGCTAGGAGCTAACACTTAGGGACTCAGAATTGAATTTTTGATTAATTAACAGTGCAAATTAGATGGCTTTGCTCCACACTGCCTGCAGAGCTCATTTAAAGGCTCCGAATAGGTTAAAACAGAAATACAACATTAATAGCTGCCATTTATTAAGCCCCCCCCCCATTATGCCAGACACTGCACAGCATGCTCTATACGTGCATCTCATTTAATCTTCCAGCAACCTGTGAAGTAAGAGTCATCATCCTCACTTACCAAGGCGGACACTAACTCAGAGAGGAAAGAAAAGTGCTCAGACTCAGAGCTGGCAATGGCAGTGCCATCATTCAAACTCCAGGCTGCCTGATTCTAACGTTCAGATCTTGCCAGTTAGCCAGCAGCCCCCAGCATCACTCAGGAATGCCCAAAGCCTCTGCTCTGGGCATATAAATATCAAGGGAAACCACGGTATTATGCCCTTTAGTCTGCCCATGGGTACTGAGTGGAGGTAGAGCCAAGAGTAACAAAGCAAGGGAGATGAGAAGGAGCCACTGAGAAATGAAAAGAAGATTATCCAGCCTCATCCCCAGTTTCCTGCTCAGCTGGCCTCTGATTTCAAAGCCAGCGTGCCAATGTGGCTCAGCACGTGCAGCGGGTAGTGATGAGCCAACACTGTAGAGTTGCCAGCATCTCCACTCCTGAAGACCTGAGCCTTGGGTGTGGGAAACAACCACCAGTCTTGGGGCCATCTGAGTACCAGGCAAGAGTGTGCCTGATGAGGGCTAACCTGGTGATGCCGGCAGTCAGCGAAGCCTGAGCAGGGAGAGCCTTTGGAGCTGGAGTGTTCAGGGAAGACTTCTTGGAGGAGGTTAGCTTAAGGAAGGCCTTGAAGAATGGGTAGGATTTGGGCGATGCAACGGTAGAAACAAAGATACTCCAGAGATGGGACACGGCCAAGTAAGGGCACATGTCTTCTATGGCTGGTTCATCAAAACATAAATCCAGAAAGATTTGGCTGGAATCACAAAAACCAGGGGGAGCAGAGATGGACTAGAAAAAAGTGTGGTAGAGTCAGAGAGTGAGAGGCAGACGTGGAAAATGAAGACCATGAACTTCCCAGGGGAAGGCTTTTGAGGGCAGCGCACCCGAGTCCTGGCTTAGACACCTTCTGCTCCCAGAAACACTACATTCCTACCTGGAAAAGGGGCACACGCTGAAATGCCGTCCTCTCAGTGAGAAGCAAACACTGAAGGCTCGGCTAGCTCGTATCAACAGGCCCCAGTAATGCCAGAAAACAAACCTGGGCCTGAACGGCTCGCTCAGTGACGTGTGGAACCGGCTTAAATGTCCAGGGCCTAAAGCACCTGTCACCTTGAATTCGTGTCTTGGAACCTGCTGCTCTATCTTGTCTCTGTCCTTGGCCCTTGGATTCACCTCTCACCAGGGGACCTCCCTTCCAGGCCCAGGGGTGAGCACCAAGGGGAAGGAAGCCCAAGGGCCCTAAACGTTTCCTTAGTGGAGGGAGAAACAGAAGCTCCCAAGTGGCCTCTCGCAGCCCCTGACGAGCACCTCCCTTCCCCTCCTGCCATCCAGAAACACGAAGCACCAGGCGGCGGGGCGGACGAGCCCGAGGAAGAGGAGGAGATGGAAGAAGACACAGGCTCCAGCAGCAGCGACTCGGGCAGCGATGAGGAGGAGGCGGAGGAAGGCGCGGGCAGGGGCAGGCACGGGCAGGGCGGCGCCAGGCAAGCCCAGCTGGAGTGGGACGACTCCACCCTCCCCTACTAGTGCCCGCCGTCCGCGTCGCCCACCCGTCCCTTTTGTAAGCCACACCTGATTATGTGAGTCTATCACCGTCGCCTCTGATTTCAGTGACACTCCGGGCAGGCCTTCCCCAGCCTCCCCGAGCCCACCCTTCATGCCCTGGGCACTCCCTGGGCCCCAGCCCTGGGGCGGTTCTGAGAAGCCCAGCGTCATCCTCAGCGGGGACTTCGGGGTGGGCTTTGTCCTGCAGCTCCCACTGTCCCTACATTGGGCTCCCCCGGCATCCTGCCAGCCAGTCTGCAGAGTCCTGCCTTGCTCTTCTCTGCGGGGCAGAATGTCGGGCTTTATGTCAGTCGCCTCCCCCGTTTCCGTGTTCCCAAGGCCCTCGGGTTCCCACTCACTGTGTGCGCACCTAACTCAGTTGTCTCTCCGCACAGACCAGCAGGTTCTCCTTACCTGCTTTCCAGGTGACTTCATTCTGGCAGGGTGGTCGGACTTCACACACCTGAGATCTTGGTCCTCAGCACTAAAGGGAAGTCCTTGTTGGAGGGATTTAGGTTCATAGGGAAGGGTTCACACGCTCATGCACACGCGCACACACTCCCCCCAGTTGAGAGCCTTTCCCTTTGACCTTTCTGAGGCCATATAAGCATATATGAAAAGTCCAAAACTTGGGCCACAGCAGGGCCTGGTCCCCAGCCAAAGCTCTCTGAGTCTGCCTGCCTGGGCAGCCACTGAAACCCACATGGTTTCCCTGCTGGGGGTCCCCACCCCCTGAAACCACCAGGTCTAGGAGGCATTCCACAGAGGCACTGCCGCAGGCGACAGCTGTGAAAAGCCTGCAGCAGGGGTCAGGAGGAAGGGCTGATGGAGCGACACCACTGGGCTTCACGGTGGACGCAGGCCTGGGAGACAGGGCGGCTGGGCCGAGCCAGGCCAGGGGCCAGCAGCGCCACGTGGACGAGGCTCTGGCCGCCGAGTCTTACGATCCTTGACCCTATTCCACGCTGGTTGCCTCCTAAGAAAATACATTCCTCTTGGATGCATTAGAACAGGCGTCAACTGCATCAAGTCTAAAATGAAAGTTTGAAAATTTAACTGCTAGGAATTAGAAACATTTGCGATAACAGCTGCTTCTTTCTTCTCATTAAAAAAAAAAAAAAAAGGAGCCAACCCTTTGGGTGGAGGGCAAATATATCTGAAAACCTAAGTTATTTATTTATTTCTTCTTCTTTTAATAAGGAAACCTCTTCCATCTCCTTCCTAACGTGGGCACTTCATGGGGGGAATTGTTGCTATGGTAACTGGTCTGTGATCTTTTGTGGCCAAGAGAATAGCTGGCAAAAATTAGGGCCATTATAGGCCGTCCACAAGGCTCCGACACCTCAGGCTTTGTCCTTGGCGTGTGCGATCTGTCCCCATCCTCCCAGTCTCCTCCAGCCCCCTCCATGCGGCTTGGCACAGGCACAGTGCTGGTCCCTAGTCACCGGGCATTCAGATTCAGAAGGAAGTTCAGAATCTGTTCATTCTATGCCCCGGGTCCCCAAAATGAAGCTCATGAATCATATGTCAGTGTCCCCTAGTCTGACCTTCACCCAGGGAGGACCCACGATAAGCCTTTGCAGCCTCTGATTCCAGAAGACTTCCTTATGCAGCTTTTTCTGTCGCCTAAAGTGTTTTTGGCATCTGCTCCTTCCTTGGAGCCTCGCGGTAATTCCGTGAGGGAGCTGGGACATCTGTCGTCAGGCTCATTTTCACTGTGAGTAAACTGAGGTTCGGAGAGTCAAGCATCTTGCTCAGAGCCATTTGGAGATATAGACAAGGCTAGACTCCCCACTTCCCACTCCTGGTCCAGCGCCCGCCACCCGGGGTCTACTTATGTTCATATTCACGCAACTAACAGGCTTTACTGAGGACCTACTGTGTGCCGAGCACTCGCCCAGCAGCTGTGGGAGGGGGGTGAAGCTGAATTAGATGAGCCCCTTCCCTCAGAGTAAAACAAAGGGGCACGGAAATTATACAAGAGACAGACACAGAGGGAGGGGAGAAGTCACAGGAAGAAGAGGGGCACACCCACAAACTTGGCCAGTGTTCTTATTTTTCCCTTCTTGGGGAAGAACACTGGTAGGGGTTTGGGGCTTTATATTCATTGAATGGGAATAGACACTTCTGTGAATTCTCCCAGCCAAATAGCCCTTTTCTCCCTGGCTAAGTCCGCACATCCTCAAGGAGAAAATCAACAGGACTGCATGGTCCTCAGGGTCCCCGGGTCTCCCCAGGGCTGCATCACTCGTTCACGGCTGGGTGAGCAGTCTGGGGCACTGCAAATCTTTCTATGGTTTGGAGGACGGAGCAAGTGGAAGTGGCACTTGGCTAGAGTAGCAGAGTCGTGGACTGGACTTACATGCATAGAAACAACAGGGTCGTCAGAGCCCTTTCTGTCACCTCTTGTTATGAAAGGTCACACTCTGTGTGCCAGTTCAGAAGGGGCTGTGATGTAAAGGGAATGGAAGCATCGGGGAGTGTCGCAGTGAGTGGTGAGTAATGTCCCTTGCCCTTCACCAGATATCCTAGCCACACATGAAAAAGGTCATGAATCAGCCCATCATTTCCAGGCTCCATATGCTGGCATCCGGGAACCAAGCTCCCAGATGACCCGAACATGCTGTGACCTCTCATCCCATGTCAGCAGTGGCAGATGCAGGCCTGAATCCAGGAGGAACAGCTGACTGGTTTGACCAGAGGCCAACCTGTTGCTTGTCTTTCCAAGTGCATGGTCAGATTCTGCTTCCCGGAGCTTGAAAATAGATAGGCTGACACCTCTCCAGTGACTCGGACAACCGGGAGGAGGGGGAAGGGGTTGAGACAGAAAAGGCCAGCACAGGATGAGTTCCCTGGTGGAGCAGAGCAATCAATGAGCTGGCCACCTGTCTTAAGGCATGCTAAAATATATTCCAGTAGGTGTCTTCAAATGCTATGAAGCTGACCAAAGCCCAGATTCATCTAGATACAAAAATGTGATTTCAGCGAGACCTCTTTTCACTATCAGTTTCCTGAACATACTCAGTCCTGTCGGGCAGGGCTCAGGCCACGTACCTCCGTGTGTAGCAAGGGCTGTGCCTTGCGGACATGGACCCCCTGGAGAAAGGGATCCTGGTGGGAGCAATGCTCTCCATTCCTGCACATACGGCAGGACTGGCAAACTTAACCTGTAAAGAGCTAGACAGTAAATACCTGGGGCTTTGCAAGCCACATGGTCTCCGTTGCAAGTATTCCGCTCTGTCGTAGCATGAAACCAGCCGCAGACAGTGGTTGGCAAATGAATATGGCTGCGTCCCAAAACAGCTTTATTTATGAGCCCTCAAAGATCAGGAAGACTGCACTCAGATTGTTTTCACATGTCAGGGAATTTTATTACTCTTTCCATTTTGACTTTCAACCATTTAAAAATGGGGAAACCTTCCTGAGCCCATGGGCCATATAAAAACCGTCAACCAGCCAGATGTGGCCCTTGGTTCATAGTTTGCAAACATCTACCCTGCACGTATGGCAATTGCTAACTTAGACCCTCCCTTAAACTGCCCAGAGGTCTTTGTCTCCAAAATGAACAACGCCGCAGTCTTGAATTAAACTGCTTTAAAAGTCCGTGTTCAGAGGAAAATAAAAGCAAAGAACACTTGTTACTTGTTGAATTGGCTCAAATGCAGGCAAGCATTTTAGGTGAAGGCCCTGGGTCCAGGCACTGGCTGACCGCTGAGCGCTCACTCCACTGAGCTGAGGGCTACCTCCCAGGTGCAAGGTCTTCTCTGCAGGACTCAGCCCATCCTGATTTCCAAGCAGAAGTATTCATTATCTCAGACTGATTTCCATTTCAGCCCAGCTCATGCCATCGCTCTAAAAATGATTCTAAAGACTTGTGACTGTTCGAATCAATAGCTATGTAATCAGTAGAGAGCCCGACCCAGCGCACTTCAAAATAACAGTCTCTCTATTCTGTGGTTCAACATTAGCCAGAGGACGAAAAGACGGACTTTTTCTTAACCACCCTTATTTAAATTAATTGCATCACTTTTTCAAAAAAGTGAGGGAGTGGGCCTAATTCTTTGAGGGAATTTGCCAGTACAAAGTAGATGCTTTCCAGGTAAGATAGTTCTCAGGCCTCTGGGAGATCCTCAAAGCCTCCTGCACTGTACTCTGGTGGGCTTACTGCTGGTACACGGTTCTCTGTCTGCATCAGACATTCACCGGGGCTGACAAGCCAAAGCCCTTGGTACAATTTAATTTTCATGTAACCACTTTCCCTTATCCAGCTGTGGGCAAAGGAAATGAGCAATGGAAGTTTTGAAGTCTGCTCTAGCACCTTCAGTTCCGTCTTTATTTGCTTTCCTTTATAAATTTATTCTGCACCTGCTTTAAAGAACTTGCTCTAGTTTTCCTTTTGGTACCAGCTGAAAAGGAGAATTGGCTTTACAAGGGCTGTGGATTCGAAGGCCAGGCTTGACTAGCTCAAGGAGACAAAAAGAGACGGAAGAAGTTACCTCCACCAGCACCCCAGAAAGCTCTCCGAAATTTTCTGTGTGCCATCGGTGAACAGATTGGATTCTGTGTTTGTGGCTATGTTCCATGTAATTCAGAAGATCCTCACTGAGCGCCCGTGGTGTGCCAGGCTCTGTGCCAGGAACAGGGGAATTGGGGAAGAGCAAGGCGTGGCCTTCCCCGTGAGGAGCTGCTGGTCCTGTGAGCTGCTGGGGTATTTCCTTTGCAGTGTTAGAGGCTGTCTATGAGTAGTCAGAACTGCCGGGGACAGAAGTTTGGGGTTCGGTGAGGTGGGATCACTTGCTTCGGCCATTCTTCCCCCTAAGTCAGGTGGTCGGATAATTCTGGGAGCCCTGACGCACGTCGCTGGGCCAGCTGAGGCATTCTCCAGGGAAGCCAGCCATGCTTCCCTCAGTGTTTCTCAGTTCTACCCGGTGGGACTCAGTTCACATATAGGTAAATTCCAGTCATCCTGCCCACTGGGCCGAAACAACCTGGCTGAGATGCAGTGACACTAGGTCAAAGGAAGTTCTGCAGGTGAACAGCAGGCAACCAGACCTTGAGAGGAGGGTGATCCAGATTGAGGGCCAAGGCCATGAACCTCCCTGATGTGAGGGAGCACCTCTGAGGCCCCATGTCATAGCTGAAGAGGGAACAAGGCCCTGGCTCCCAGGGATCTGCTGAGGGTTCATGCGTGGTCCTGTGAAGCAGAGGTTCTCAGGGTGCGTGCCTGGACCGGCAGCCTCAGCATCGCCTGAGGTATGAGATGCAAATCCTCAGGCCCCACCCAAGACCTATGGAGCCAGAAACTCAGAGGGTAGGGCCCAGTGATCAATGTTTTAATGAGCCCTTCAATTCTGGTGCCCACTAAGTGTGAAAACCACTGATGTCCACAAACCAAAGCTGTCTGAGAGGAGAGGACAGTTAGCAAGATGAAATGATCCACAACTAGTACAGTGAGGAGAGGGGCCCCCCGGCTCCCATGCACACTCCCTGCAGCGGTGTTTTCAGAGAGCCCTGGTCCTAATCCCAACTCCACTCCTCCCCTCGGACAGGACCCACTTCCTGCTGGCCTGGCCCCTTTCATCTTTGGGAGGCTGGACTGGAGCCTCCCATCCCTAGGGAGCCTCCATCCAGGTCCCTGCTCAAGGGCTATACTTTAGGGAGAAACAATTAAACTGCAGCAGTGACCCTTCATCACCAGGAGAACTGGCCTCCACACGGCCTCTGTGCTGGTGGAGCCCCCGGGCCTGGCAGACAGTGGGCTTGTCACCTAAGGTCACTGCTGGTTGCTGCAGCGCTGCTCCATGCATAAGGGGACTGGGGCACACGGGGGCACAATCCCCGCACTGAATCAGATGGGAAAGAATGGCTTTTCTTGGAAAGGCAGTAACTCTTTCTGAAAGTTACTGAAAGTAGAAAACCAAAAACAAACCTGCAGCCTCCCCTACAGACAATTTGTCTTGGCCCTTGAGTGTCTAAGATCAACGCCCTTTTACCCCACCAGATGCCTGAGGCCCACTGATTACTAATTTAGTTTTTTGATTTATGGCTTAAACTATAAAGCTCCACAGACCTTTGGGGGGTCTAGTTGGCAGTCTATCAGTCATTCACAACTAACTATGGCATAGAATCCATCCTCATATGAGGATCTCTGAGACTGGGAGTCAGAGGACTGGGGCACGGGGCCTTGGGGCAAAAGAACCGAAAAAAAAAATGGGCTGGGAAAGAGCCCAGACACATGGCCTCGGAGAGCTAGCCCTGCTGTGCTTACTTTCTAAGAACCCCAGTTCCCTGCAGGTCAGAGACACATTCCTCGTCCTCTCAGCAGTCTCCTTGCTGAGTCCTTTCAAATCCCCTAAAGGTCACCCCCATTTGTCCAGCCCAGGGTGGAAAACACCTTCTGATTCAATGCCCAGCCAGCCTCCTAAGACCACAGAGGCCATCTGAGAGTAATTCGTCCCTCACAGGTTAGAGTATGCTGACAGGAACAAATAGCACTTGCCTGGTGCTTGCTGGTGAGAGAGCCTGGGAAAACCAAGAGGGGAAGGTGGAGTGCTGCTTCCTGCCACTTACATCCAGAGGGAGTTTCTTCACAGCCTGGCCTTTCTGTGAATTCTCTAAAGGAACATTTTTTTCCCCAAGACCTTAAGGCAATTTTACATGTTTCCCGGAGATTAGTCATTTATTGCAGAAAGCCTGCTGCGGGATTATGGAGGAGAAATGGGATGTAGGACAGGCTCTGTTCTGGCCAGCACCCTGGACCTGTGTCGCCAAGTAAAGCAGGGAGGTGTATGGAGGGAGCATCAGGAGCCCAGATCCAGCCAGGACACCAAGTGAGGTGAGTGAGGACTGCCACAGGGAAGACTAGGCACAGGTGAGACATACATTGTGAGTCATTGACAGACCATACCAACCATTTACATTTGTCAGGAGTATGCAGAGAACCATGTCCCAACACCAGCTAGTTCTTCTCGTTCTAAGGAGCAGAGAGGAGCAGGTACTTCTGCACCATGGAGGTGGCATCTCCAGAGTCAGGGACCTAGTCCATGAAAATGTTCAGTTGAATGAGATGGAACCACAGCCGTCCTAACTTCCCAGGCACCTGAGGGGTGGTCTGAGGAGGGCCCTGGGACTCATGGTTGTGTGAGGCAAGTGTGGCTCCCCAACTCCTGCCCCCTCTTCTGCACAAGCCCCTTCCTGAAGGCGAGAAGACTGACTTATCAATCATAGCACCCTGGGGTCTGGCATAGCACCTGGCCCACAGCATGTGCTCAATAAACTCTGAAGTACCTGGAAAGCCAGGATCATTTGACCTCAGTAAATGGACAGGGTTTGAAAAATTAAGATGCTCCAATGAGGAATCTCTTCATCTCTTCTCTTGGTGCATAAGTTGAGGTCCTTTATAAATCAGACAGAGGATGAGGGGGGATGTGGTGGTGGAAGGTAGCGTTCCTGCTGAACGAGTGGGAAAAGAACAGGAGTGGGGGTGCTGGGGGAGTGACCCCTCCCAGCTGCAACCAGCCAAAGGAGCCCCCAAGCAAGGAACAGGGGTGGATAGGCTGGGATGGGCGCACTTGCTCTGCCCTATTGGCCATGGGAAGCATCCCAGCTGAGAGAAAGCCTTCATCCATTAATGACCCAAGCCCTGTGCTGCTCTCCAGTCCCTTTTATCAGATTCTCTGCAGAGGAGATTCATCAAGGTGAAGGTCAGTTCCCCACGGACTAATGAAAAGAGGACAACAGACATGCAAAGAGCCAAAATGCAGACGGTGTGTATTAATCACAGGCCACAGAAACATGTCAGCTTTAATGTCTGTTTGCTTTTATCTTGAAATGAAAATGCATCTCTGCTGCCTAGATGCCCTTTTTTTCCTGAGCATTTCAGAGCAGAAATGGGACACACACACACACACACACACACACACACACACATGTCGAGGGTCCCTTTCCCCAACAGAAAGAGCTATCAGACATGAGCCCATAGATTGTATCTATGTGTAGAAGCAGAGAACCAACCACAAGCCTCAGCTACAGGCTGCAGTCCCTGTGTGGACAAGGGAGGGGAAGGGGCAAGGAGGCATCTGCCTTTGGGAGGTGAGTGGCTCTGCTTGTGCCTGTGGGTCACAGATGTGAATATATTGTGCACATAACCCCTGGACACAAAAGTATACCCATCCTGGTCCACATGGAAACACCCTCCCCCACCCCACCCCCCACCAGCTCCCTTACCCGACTGCAGATTCAGAAGAGGTCATGTTCATTGTCACTAGTAAACTTCAAATGATAGAAATAAGTGGAGGCCAGGAAGTTAGACTTGATATCCCGGGCTGATCACTCAAAAACCAAGAAAAGAGAGATGGAAGTGACTCAGAGTTGGAGCAGGAACAGGTGAGGCTGGATGGGAGGGACAGTAACCAGAACACCCT